CGATCCAACACTATGGACTTGCCTAAGGGACTTTGAACTATCACCGAATTCTCAGTATTCTCAACAGGAATATTCAGACCCTCATAAACGGAATATGATACATAGGAATTGGTAGAACCACTATCAAACAATGCAAAGTAGGGAATTGAATAAGCAGTAACAGTACCTGCAATCACATTAGGCCCGTTGCGATCCTGTCGAAGTCTAGCAGTATAAACCAATGCAGGTTGTTTGGCCTCATATCTTACTGGACCCCTACTTTGAGATGCTCTACTTCTAGTAGCCGATCCTGGAGCTCTCTCCTGAGTACGACCCCCTGCATGAGTCTAAATTGTATTATGAGAACTAACGGGAGTACGAGCTAGTGTCTGAACTGTAGGACCTGACCCTGTACAATCCTTCACAAAATGGTCACTAGAACCACATTTAAAGTAGGTACCCAATTTCCTCTTGTATTCCCCATGATGAGGTTTCCCACAATAATCACGTGACTACAAAGGCTGTAACATAGAAGAACCACCATGTTTAGAAGGTTGAACAACTGAAGAATCGGATGTCACATGCCTGGCACTCGCATCGCCTCTCTGAAAAGACTCACCCCTGCCTCTCTTGCTGGGGTGTGCAGAAGAATCAATGGAACCAGAAGGACTCATAAATCGGTCTCAATCTCTATCTCTCCTGCGCTCTATACCCACTCGCTTAATGTCCTCATCAGTCTTGGGTATCTCAACCAAAGCATCAAAATTTCTTTCCTGGTGGGTAGCAACTCGACTCCTGATCTCATACCTGAGTTCGATCTATCTCAATGTCAACAAGTCTATGAGCATAACGACTCAATCGGATGAACTCAACCTCATAGTCCATAACATACATATCATCCTGCTGCAGATTTTGAAACTCCTGACGTCGCTCCTGCAGATATCTCTCTCTGATTTAGCGACTCCAAAAACGTATCTTAAAAAGATTCCATGTTAATTGGTTCCTCGGAATACTACCAGAAATTGATTGCCACCATCTGAAACTCTCTTTCTTCAACATAGTTAGGCTCTATTTAATTTCTGCTCAAGCCTCAAATCCATCTCATCCATAATTTTCTCTATATCCTCCAACCAATACTCAACGTTTTTCAGAGGTCCCCTAGTAATACCCTCAAATGGAAATACTCCAGCAGCTACCAAAGAACTCAAAATCTCGACCGTAGTCATATTACTAGGGACTCTAGCAGCTCTCTGAAACATACGAAAGACAGCTCTATTAATGGCATCTTCATTCATGTTAGTATCCTCATCTTCAATGATAGGAGGGTCTCTCACATGAGTAATCGGAGCATCATGAGAAATAGACAGATCAACATGCGGAACAGGAGGATCACATGGTGACATCTGATCATCTATCGCAACAGAAGGTCGAGCGACTCGCCCTTGACCACAGCCACGGCCTGTCCTACGACCTCTAACAGCACTCATCGGGTGGATCTATAAGGCTCTACAGAAAGAATTTGAACATAAGTTAAACTAGCATCAGTGATCTCGAATAAAAAAAAATAACTCATCAAATAAGGTGACACGTTTTTGAAAAATATCAAAATTTCTTAAAAGATCTAAAGTTAGGACTCATCCACAGTCCGAGTGTTTAAAATCGAAAGCTTTGATACCACCAAATGTAACCCCCTAGACCCAGCCTGAACGCTAGACCCAAACCTAAGCGGTCACATATTTCATCCAAGGATTTTTTTTTTATTTTTAAAACAACATATATGAATACATATTTTAGAAAAACCATATAAAACACATAGATATAAAAAAACCACAAAAAACCGTATAAAACATTTACGGAACAAAATATCAGTAATACGGACATATCTAAAATGATATCAAAATACATGTCACCAAATACAACTGGAAAACATATAGAGATATACGTTCATACAAAGTAAAAGTAGTTGATCTCCCCTGATGCCAAATCTACTAGTTTACGGTCTGCTGTTATCTGAAAAGGGTAAAATTTACAAAATGATCTAAAAAAGCCTAGTGTGCTCCTTACAGTGTATAAAAAAAACATACAAATAAAATATTTTAGTAAAATTAGTTTATCAAACATGTATTTAAAAATATTAACACTACCCCCATCGATCACATCAGAATGTGTATGTTCCACAGAACCATACAACCCCTGCACAACAGTAAGGCCCTGAGCACAAAGCCGAGGAGCCTGCATATATACTTGCTCAAACAATACCACCAATGACCATGAATGTGTTCAAGTGAAAACGATGATTAATCCTTTAAAACATGAAAATGTTTCATGCTTGGAAATCATATACAGAAATACGAAAATCAGAAGTCAAATCAGTAACGTACGGTAAATCATATATCGGATAAGCTATATTCAAAAATCAGGTATAAAAATATACCGTAACAAGAAATCATATAAGAAGTGTGCCATAAATCAGATATCAAATAAACAATATTTAGATAGGCATTTTAAAACAGTAAGATAACACCTTCAGGAAATATACTTGTAACAGTTTGAGAAATCAGATAGGGAAGCCTACTATGGGTCTGTCGATCACGGTCTACTGCAGCGCTAGATCCTACGAATTGGAAAAATCCATATTTGAATCCTAATATGAATAATCTTAACCTTTATTTAAATAATTTACGGAAACCAACGGGTAATTCTCGTAGTACGCGGTTCGGGCGGATCTAACGAATGGATAACACCAGACCTAACTAATCCTCGCTTAGATAAAACACGAGTACTTTCATAAAATATCTTATTAGATCAATTTCATAACCATATCTCAAATAAATAATAAAAAATGCTAAAAATACTAATCATTTTTTGGTTAACGAGCTCGATTCGGGGATTTCGGGTTAGAATTTGACAAGACGGACTTCGAAATCAGATTCAAGATGTCGAAAAACATAAAATATGACTTTTCAAAAATTTTGACTTTTTGGTCAAAGTTTACGGGTTTGATTGATGATTTGGAGGCTTTCGGGTTCGAATTTGGAAAAACGGACCGTGGATTTGGACTCAAGATGTTGAAAAACATAAAATACGACTTTTCGAAAATTTTAACTTTTTCGGTCAATGTTAAAGGTCAATTGTGGTCAACAGTCAACAAGTTGGGTAGGATCAACGGGTCAGGTCGGGTCAAACTGAGTCAACGGGTCAAACCAGTCCACTACCCCAGCTGTTTCGAACCTCCCCTACGTGCAGGGGTGGCGCATGGGACCTCTTACGGCGTCGGAAAAATTACAGAAAAATTTTCTAAAAATAATTTAAGCGATTTTGAGACACTTACTAAGCTCGGTTCAAAATTTTAAACGATGGAGAACTCGATTTCAACATGTCAAACACTTTAACTGCTTTACCTCCCTCACGCGCCGGTGACGATAGAGACAAGGAGGACACCGGCTGACTCGAAACGATACAAGGAACACGATGGTGCGAGAGGTGTCGAAAACGGAGCAACGATCGACAATGAATTGAAGATTTTCCCAGCGGTGGTGCTAAAAAAAGTCAAAACTTTAAATCAAAATTCACGACGTCTGACAGTGTTTCACTACGATTGGTTTACGGGGTTTTGTTCATCGGTCGAAGACGAACACGATTGTGGTTTTGAATCGACGATCAGTGGCCGGACGGCGTCGGGATCGGGTTTGAAAAGAGGGTGCGAAAGGAGGAATTTTGAGCAATTTGTTTATGTTTTCAATCAGAAATGAATTGCACGCATATAATGTATTTCTGCCGACACTATTTGGAAATATTCAGGGTTTAATCCCTGAATTTCCTTCAACTTCTAAAATAGTCTACAAGTTTTGGAAACCTTTAATTTAATCCCCAAATTTCACCAATTTACATAAATATAATTTTTTCCCCGGTTGTTACAATATAGGTACTACGTTTCATTAGTGGACGCATGAATAAGACACTGTTGGGTGTATCTTCTTAAAACCAAAGATCAAGCTTTACATTCGTTTCAATTGTTTAACAACATAGTGAAAACTCAGTTCAATGTTGTGATAAAGGAGGTGCAAACGGATTGGGTAGTGAGTACAGGTCAATCTTCTTTTGTTGACAAGCTTAGGCATTTGGCATCAAATAATTTGCCCACATACTTTTAAGCAGAACGGTGTAGTAGAGCGTAAACACCGACACATCATTGAGCTGGCCTTGGTTCTTCTTGCACAAGCTACTCTGCCACTCAAGTTTTGGTCATATGTTGTGTGAACAGTTGTCTATCTCATAACCGTTTGTCCACACGTGTTCTTAAATGAAAAATCCCCTTTTGAATCATTGTTCAACAAACAACCTGCGTATGAGCATATGCGAGTCTTTGATTGTCGCTGCTATCTACAGCTTCGACCTTATCAAAATCACAAATTGTGTTTTAGGTCACAATCCAATACATTTCTTGGTTACAGTATAAAACATAAGGGTTATCAATGCATGACCCTTGATGGAAAGGTTTACATCTCCAGACATGTAGTTTTTGATGAACAATGTTTTCCTTTTGTAGAAGCAAATGCACAAGTTAGTTTTATTCGTGATACTGCTCAAGTTATGCCTAGGGCTGCCTCTCTACGTATTGTTCATGATGCAGACAAGGTGTGTACGTGACCAACCTTGGTACAATCATCTGAGTCTCTAGCTAACCCTGATATGGCTAAAGTTGTTGGGACACGCAGTGTGATGGAGGGTCAGGTACTCAGGGAGGGAGTGCAGTACTGACAACTCAAGATGTATAACTCAAGGAGCGCAATGTAATGGGAAATGTTTATGATGATCAAAGTAATGGTGTTTTTCTTGAACAAGATGTTGAGCAAAGTGGCAAGTTAAGTCAAGCTGCTAATGAAGAGTTGGATCAAGTGGCTGTTGAGGCAACAGAAACTGTGGAACCTGTACTTCCAGCACCTTCAGACTAACCATGTGATATTGGTCATCAAATGATAACGAGAAGTAAGCGTGGAATCTTTAAACCAAAACCCTATATGATATTGTATGGGATTAAAGAAGAAGAACCCGAGTCCATATATAAAGCTCTTCAATCATCGAACTGGAAAGAAGCAATTCAAGCTGATTTTGAAGCTCTTGAAATGAATAACACGTGGATGCTGGTAACTCTGCCTGAAGGAAGGAAAGCAGTATGTTGTAAATGGCTGTTTAGAATCAAAAGGAATGTTAATGGCACTCTACAATGCTACAAGGCGAGGTTAGAGGCAAAAAGGTTCTCTCAAGTACCTGGACAAGACTTCCATGACACCTTTAACCCCGTGGTTAAATCATCCACAATCAATGTCATATTGTCCATAGCAGCTCGTAACAACTGAGATTTGAGGCAGATCGATGTGAACAATGGATTCTTAAATGCAATTTGAATGAAGATGTTTATATGAAGCAACCACAAGGCTTTGAGAATAAGGCAGGAAATGGTACAATATTAGTGTGTAAACTACAAAAAGCCATTATGGCCTGAGATTGGCTCCAAGGAATTGGTATGCTAAGCTGAAAGATGCCTTATTAGGTGTAGGGTTTATTAGTTCTCAAGCAGATGACTCGTTATTTATCAGTCGAGAAGGGAGAAAGTTCACATATATTCTCGTTTATATGGATGATATCATTGTTATAGGTGAATCCAGTGATTGTATTGAGAAGATTGTTCGATTAGTTTGGGAAAAATTTTCTTTGAAAGACTTGGGGAAGCTAGGATTGTTCCTTGGAATAGAATCAAAGCATGTGGGAAACTCAATCTTCTTGAACCAGAAGAAGTATGTGATGGAACTTCTTACCAAAGATTGCATGAAAAATGCAACACCAACACCAACTCCTATGATTAGTTTCCCAAAACTCTCTAAAGATATTGAGAGTAAGCTGGTAGATGTAAGGGAATATCGTAGGTTAGTTAGATCATTGTCATGTGCATGTCGTACTTGTCCCGATATTGCTTACAGTGTAAATAAACTAGCCCAAATCATGCATGCTCCATGTGAACATCATTTTGCAGCAGTAAAGCGTGTATTGTGATACTTAAATGGAACACTTGAATATGGTCTTGTATTTTCTTCAGCTACAGAACCTCTTCAAGTCATGGCGTTTGTTGATGCTGACTGGGGAGGAAGTGTGGATGACAGACGGTCAATATCAGGGAGTTGTGTGTACTTAGGAGGGAATATAGTGATGTGGAACTCAAAGAAGCATAAAACAATGTCTAGATCGACAACTAAAGCTGAGTATAGGAGCTTGACAGATGTGGCATCAGATGTAACATGGCTTGATTCTTTGTTTAATGACATGATAATTAAATTTCAAATCACACGGTAATTGGAGTGATAATTCAAGCGCCACAGCCATGAGCGCCAGTCTTGTTTACCATTCAAAAATTAAACATGTTGAGCTGGACATTCGCTTTGTTCGTGAAAAAGTGGTCACAGATAAGTTGAGGGTGAACTTTGTTCCTTATCAGGTGGCTGACGGATTGACCAAAGCCTTGACAAAATATTACTTCACCATGTTCATGCAAAAGCAGAGAGTCTGTTCTTTAATAAAAGTTGAAAATGGAAAAAGTAGGGATCATATTGGTATAATCTAGAATGTGAAGTATTGTATTAGTTATGCTAACTCAACATTAGTTTGTTATGCGCCTACGTTAGCTAGGGTTGTTATCAATCTATTATAGCATATCATTCTACAGTGGTGTATTAAAACGATGACTAATGTATTGTTGAATAGACTTGTTGAATAAGAAAAATATTCCTTTCTTCATATTTTGTAACTTCCTAATAAGCATAGCGATTGAGTCATAGTTTTGAATATGTTGCTGAGAACTTTTAGCATAGAGCTGCCATGGGAGCTAAATGACTGGTCAAATATTGGCCAACGTAGCACATAGGCCTGTAAACGAACCGATCGCACACGAACGGTGGTATGTTCATGTTCGTTCATTTAATAAATAAATGAACATAAACGAACACGAACATAAACGAACAATTTTTTTTTTGTTCATGTTCGTTTATTAAGGAATATAACTTGTTCATGTTCGTTCATTTAATAAATAAACGAACATAAACGCGCACGAACATAAACGAACACGAACATAAATGAACACGAACATAAACGAACATAAATGTTGGAGACCCTACCTAGGGGTGTAAACGAGCCGAGTCGAGCTCGAGTATTGCTGAGCTCGACTAGAACTCGAAAACTTTCAAAGTCAGCTCGACTCGAAAACTCGCGAGCTTAAAATTATCAAGCTCGACTCGAACTCGAAATATAATATTGAAACTCGACTCGAACTCGAAAAAGCTTGAACTCAAAAAAAAATTAAGAGCTCGATTAAAACTCGAAACTCGAGCTCGATTGAAGCTCGATTCTGAGCTCGATTCAAGCTCGACATTGCCCCAAGCGCAAAGATGCTTAAACTTATTCTCCCCAATCTTCTTTTATATAAGTTACTAACCCTGAGTTGCTTGTTTGCTACTGATGTGGGATTGCATAACGTTCCTCCACTTTCTTTCTTCCTTTCTCCTTCAACAACAGTCGAGATGAACACAAATTGTGTTTCATGTGATTGCCGACCTTAATCCTTGGGGATCAAACAAACATGTCCTTAGCTTCGTGCTATGTAAAAGTTGAAAATTGGGAGATGAGAGAAGTAGGTTGGCTAAACTTCCATATCCGGATGGCGCACAAAATTTGTTTGATGAAACGCGTTAAAGAACTTCTCAACCTATGGAATAAGGTCTTACCATTATTGGGTTCTTGAGTTCAAAGTAAGCTGACTTGAGTTGCTAGTTGATCACTATTTACTTGTAAATTCGAATACTCTATTATATATAAAAGAAAAAAAGATTATTTGAGTAGAAGAAATGGTGCTTAATACTTAACATCCCTTCCGGAATACATCACCTTTGGACTTGGTTTTGAAAGCAACCGGTTTCTGGGACTCCTCTTTGCTCATCGGATAACTAGCTGGTGGCCCAGTCACATAGGGTTCCGACGCAGTGGATGTTGACGGTGCTGGGTATGCAGCTTATGGATCGTTCAAAAATAACTAAACCATGTTAATATTGTTGGGTTTTCCAAATAAAATTGGGTTAATTATGGAGTTGGTCATCAGAATATCAGATTAATTAATATTTTTAAGATACTTACAAATTGGTCACCAAAATTGATTTAAGAAGATTGGGTTAAACATAAATGAATGAACATAAACGAACATAACCGAACGAACATAACCGAACATAACTGAACGTTCACGAATGTAAATGAACGAACGAGACCTATGTTCATGTTCGTTCATTTAATTAAACGAACACAAAATCTTGTTCATGTTCGTTCATTTAATAAAATAAACGCACATAAACGAACTTCCCGCCTCACGGTTCATGAACGGTTCGCTGAACGTTCAGTTCATTTACAGGCACAGTTGTAGCACGGTAACAGTAAAACGTCCAAACGTGTCAAGTTAGTTTTTTGTGATATATTTAATTATGCTTAACAATATAATCATCGTTTTGTTGCTTTTCGATATTATTAATGACTTTTGTTACTTTTGAATTTCAATACAAAAAATAAAATTTTGCTTATATTTAAGTGATTATTTAAGTGGTTTACGCTAAAAATAAAAGTTAGATGTAGTCTTTGTTTTTCTTACTACATGCACAATAATTCCTTCTTAAGAAGGTAATTCTTAGCAATCAAATACCAACAAAAGATATCACTTTATTCATCAAGGGAAATTAATCAAAATTAACAGTAACCGAGCTTCAAAATCTATAGAGTTATCATATTAAAAATAAGTACATTATGCACATTATCACGGATTCAATGGTGGTAACTTGTTCTTAAAATTGTTCTACATGCAATAGCTGATTGTTGTGTGAACCTTTGAACTCTTCTAGAGTTGGAAGATAATTTCAAAACTAAAACAACACATAAGTGAAAAATATTTATAGCCGATTGTTATGATTATGAAATTATTAAGGCAAAAAGGCATAAAAGGTATACGTACTTTTGAAAAAAATAATATAATTATTGTATTATTTTTCTCTCAATGTGATCTTTAACCTAGAAAATAAATTCAATGTGGCTCTTTGATCAACATTTTTTTGTCGTTGACTGTTATGAAGTTGATGTAACAATTCACGATGCCGATATGACAATCCACGGTGTTGATATGATAATTCACGGTTCTAACATGATAGTCCTGGATGGCAGATTAACATGGAGGATGACATGGTAGATTAACTAAATAGTAAAACATGTCAGATTGACTAAATTGGTAACTCAAACATGACATATGGACTGTCATGTTAGCATCGTGAATCACAACATCAACATCGTGAACTGGCCGCCAATACTATAACGATCAACGACGAAAAACATTGGTCAAATGATCAAGTTGAATTTTTTTTAAGTTGAAGAGTCACATTGAGAAAAAAATGAGGATTAAATTCATTTTTTTAAAAGTACAAGGACTTCCTATGTTTTATCCCGATTATTTACTACTAGTTTAGCAAATCAGATAAGCAAGGGCAGTTTGTGGGCTGATTACAGGGCAAAGCAGATAAGCGAAAGTATATCCATCTTGTTTCTGCCATTCATTTATCTAGAAACCGCAGGCAGCATTCAATCCCTTTCAATTTCCTCTCATGGATTCAGAAATGGTTATCGAGTTCCCAGGCCTCATCAGAGTCTACAAAGATGGCCGAGTCGAAAGACTCAGTGGAACCGACTTCGTCCCGCCATCAACTCACCCCCAAACCGGTGTTTCATCCAAGGACGTAACAATAATCCCCGAATCCAACGTTTCGGCTCGTCTCTTCCTCCCAAAGCTCATCAACCACAACTAAAAGCTACCTCTCCTCGTCTACTTCCATGGCGGAATCTTCTGTACATCATCACCATTCACTTCACAGTTCAGTAATTTACTCAACGCCTTGGTTGCCGAAGCCAACGTGATCGCAGTGTCGGTAAATTTTAGAAACACACCGGAACACCCTATCCCAGCCGCATACGAAGATTCTTGGGCTGCCCTCAGTTGGGTAGTTTCCCAGCGCAACAGCCAAAGCCCCGAGCCATGGCTCAACGACCATGCCGACTTCGAAAGACTGTTCTTAGGCGGTGTAACTTGTAAGCACCGGTGCCAACATTGTTCACAAGTTAGCCATGGCTGCTGGGGACTCCGAGTTTGGGCTAAACGTGGACATTCTGGGGATTGCATTGGTGCACCCATATTTCTGGGGGTGTGAACCCGTTGGTTCCGAGTCATTACAACCGGAAGCAAAGGCTCGTTTGGATAAGTTGTAGCCATTTGTGTGCCTGGAAACCC